TATAAAAAAAAAAAAAAAAAAAAAAAAAAAAAAAAAAAAAAGCTTGTGGGGAAAATTGAATCAGAGTGAGTTTGTTTTCGTGCAAAGAATTTGAAGTCCATGCATAATTTTTCATAATGATCACTATCAGTTGAACTTCGAAGACCACCCCCCACATTCATACACTTTATTTAGCACAAAAATCCAAAGATTACTTTAGCTCATTTACCTCTATACATTAAGGCAAAACTCCCACCCTCCTTTCATCTCCTCAAACCAAGATGACTGGAATGCTGAATGATTGTACCAGAGTTTACCCACCAAGGGCTAGCCAGTCCAGGCAGACACCAGTGCTGAGTACACACTTTCTAGCGACTTCCATTGCTCAGCACCAAACTCCATAAATGGTTTTGGTTTGGGGTTTGGTTTTTGGTTTTGTTTTGCTTAACTGTTACAGAATTTTTCTTCCACACAGAATGATGGGATATAACAGAATGGTGATAACATGGTATTTAGAATCTTAGATAGACCCCGGTACCAACATTTACATAAGTTTGAGCAAGTCATTCATGCTTTGGCTTTCACATCAGAAAAATGGGGTCCTTTTAGAGTCAAATGTGTTTGTGAGTATGAGGACTCCTTTGTAAATGACATAACTCTGTGTAGAGATCACAAGGCAGCCTGGCACATGAGTAGAAGTTCTCTATCCTTTTCTTACCTAAAACACAGGAGTGCCAGCCTGCAGGTTGGTGGTTAAGAGAGCCAGATCCGTGCTCGCTTCGGCAGCACATATACTAAAATTGGAACGATACAGAAAATTATATTAAAAATAATTCTTTAGAAGATTAGCATGGCCCCTGCATAAGGATGACATGCAAATTCATGAAGCGTTCCATATTTTTGGGACCAGCAGTTAGCGTAATGGCTATGTTGCTGGACTCCCATGTAGTTGACTGTGGTTCACGTCCCGGACCCGGTGGCTTAAAACTCACACCAGGCACGTGTGTGTGCGTGCCCAAGATCCCGAGAGGAGAATGGAGGAGAAGGGATTGCGGCGTGGCCATCCCCCCGGGAGATGATTTCTCGCTTTCTGTCTCTCTGTCTGTCTTGACTACATGGGAGTCCAGCGACATAGTCATTATGCCAACTGCTGGTCCCCAATTTTTTCTTAATGAGTGGGCTTAGAGCCTTATCCTTGGATCTAGGTTGTAATTCCACAATAAGACCAATCTGTGGTCTTATTGCAACCACTGTCATGAAACCTGATGTGTGAATTTACAATATGAAGTCTCCAAAGTAGTAAAGAAAATTAGTGGTGAGAATTTTTATCCCAGGACAAACCATTACACATGGGAATGGGCATGTACAGAGCTATACTTAATGCTCACTTGTTGAACTGAATGCAGGGTCTCAAAGGAACAAGTATGTAGTGTCAAGCAGAGTGTACACAGGGAAAGGGACCCCTGTTACTAGAAAGCCCAGGCTTACCTCCTCCCAACCCACTTATTCACTGGGTATATGGAAATCAGCAGTCATAAACTAGAGGGTCACAGGCCAGATTGCCTTTACAAAGGTCCCATACAATATTTTCTAGATAATCTGAATCAATTACTCACACATTAAAATATTCAAGATAAAATTTAAATGCCTAGATATTCTTTTTGTTTTAGAGGTTTCTGCCATAGAGTACATGCACTCACCAAAGAGAGACAGACAGAGACGTAGAGACAATGAGAGGAAGAGTGAAAAATCACCCCCTATGGGAGACAGTCACGCCACAAGCCCTTCTCTTCCCAGGATCTTGGGCATGAACACCCATATACCTGGTGTGATTTCCAAGACACTGGGTCCAGGATTCAAGCAGCAGTTGGCCATGTGGGAGTCCAGAGACATAACTGCTATGCCATCTACTGACCCCTATATATTCTGGTTTTTTTTTTTTTTTAGAGAGAGGCTTTTGCTATAAGGGCATGCGCTCGCCAGAAAGACAGAGAGAGACAGAGAGATAGAAAGTGAGAAATCACCCCCCAGGGGGGATGGCCACGCTGCAATCCCTTCTCCTCCATTCTCCTCGCAGGATCTTGGGCACGCATGCACAGGCATCCGGCCTGTGTTTAAGCCACCGGGTCTGGGACTCAAACTGCGGTCGGCTACATGGAGTTCAACAATATAGCCATTACACTAACTGCTGGTCCCTCTTTTTTTTTTTTTTTTTTTTTGATTTTTGCTATAAGGCACATATGCTCACCAGAGAGACAGAATGTGAGATGTGAGCGATCACTCTTCCCGGGGGGGGGGATGGCCATGCAGCAATTCCTTCTCTCATTCTCCTCTCGGGATCTTGGGCACGTACGCACATACATTCACAGTGAGTTTTAAGTCACTGGGTCCGGGACTCGAAATGCAGTCAACTACATGGGAGTTTAGCAACGTAACCACTATGCCATCTGCTGGTTACTACCCCTATATATTATTATTATTATTAATTTTTGGATAGGTTTTTGCTGTAGGGTGCATGCACTCACCAGAAAGACAGAGAGAGATAGAGAGACAGAAAGCAAGAAATCGTCCCCCAGGGTCAGGATGGCCACGCCAGCCACAATCCCTTCTCCTCCACTCTCTTCTCAGGATCTTGGGCACTCACACACACGTGCCTGGAATGAGTTTAAGCCACCAGGTCCAGGACTCAAACTGAGGTCGGCTACATGGGAGTCTAGTGACAGAGCCATTATGCCAAATGCTGGTCTCATACCCCTACATATTATTAAAATCACTTGTAGGGCAGGGAAAAAATGGCTTTTCTTTATCCTTCAGATTCGTTGAGCTATGATTTAACTTGATGGAAGACACATTAACAAGAGAAAACCATATTTAATTATGTACATAAACACGGGAGTCCCACAGAATATGAGACTCCAAAAAGAGCCAGATGATTGGAACTCATATATCATCATGAGCTACAGAAGGGAAAGGGAGTTGGGGTCTCAAGGGGTGGTGGAC